CGCTCGTGTGGCGGTGTTTAGTCCAGTTTGATAAAACGAGCAGAGGCAGCTGTCTGGGTAGTGTGTCAGGTTGGCAAGGAACAGACTTTCGTATGGTCCTCGAGAGAGCGATCCCCCTGCTCCAGCAGGAGGACGAGGACGGCAGGGTCATTCATGATAAACAAAACAAAAACTTACAAAAGCGAAAAAACAAAACGCTGGGAAACACGCCACTTAACTTTATAGGGTCCGGTCTTCTGTCACGGTGTGGTGCAGGAGTGAATACACGAAGCAGAAGAATAACGATAAACAGTCTTCAATAATCCACATAGGGGTAATCCATCACAAGAAGGCAGCCAACACGCGTATACATCGACGAGACCGGACAAGGAAACTCTGAACAGAATGCAACTTATATGGAGAACGAAAATGAGGAAAACGACTAGACACACCTGAACATAATGACACAATCAAACATGAGGGAAAGGTACTAAAGTAGGTCACACAGAGCACATGGGTAATGGAACCACAGTAAAACGTCCATGGGTGTGACAAACGCTATCTCACGGTCAATTCGTACATGAGGTGGCTAATTCGTACACATTTGTAGGACCTCATTTGTAAGATTTTGTATGATTTGTCTACACCCCAGTGACGGGTAGGTTTAGGGGCGGGGTTAGGTGTAGGCCATTGTATGCCAAAATCTAAATCATACGAATTTGTATGAGTGAGGTCGGACGAATTCGTATTAATTAGCCTCCTCCTCGTAAAATATGTACGAATTGCCATGAGATCAGGTTGCATTATCTAATGCAGTTCAAGTGTGACTGAAGTGTTTTTGAGGTCAGTGTCGGTCAGGTCACATTTTTGTGATGCAAAAGGAAGTTGTGATGTAATGATGCGAAGAACGTTATTAATATTTAAGGTCATAATCGCTGACTAATTACACATTCTCTCTCTCTCTCAGTCTCTATTTTAATCAGTGTGAGAGCCGGTGTGTGTGTGTTATCCATCTGTGTTTGCTTGTAGGGTGGAGGAATAACTGGACTGAATTCACATTCAGTGTAGTCCAACATTAAAAACAAATATAATCTAAAATGCATCGAATATGAATAAATATTTAGTAACGCTGTGTAGGATAATCCTCTTCTTCCATATTGAAAACCTTACAGATGTGCATGTTATTATATGCAAGTCTTCGTTTAAAGAAAAGTGAATGGCAGAATTACATTCCAATAAATAATTTACAAGCAAATTCAAATAATAGTTCAAAATTCTGATTGGACGAGCTGTGTTTGGAATGTTCAGTAGATTCTAAAGTGATGCGGCAAGTTGCTATGTTGCTTGGCATGTTTATTCTGATTGTTGATATTGTGATTATTTTTACAGTCATTGAGCCGTTCAGGGGCTTTCGACAGTGATTCTGTACAGATGCTCTTGAAGTTCATAGTGAATGTTAAAAAAATATCTGCCAGTGTGTTTAGGAAAATAAACTTAAAGGATTTATAATAATAATAATAATAAACTTTATTTTATAAAGCGCCTTTAAAAGCAGCGTCTCAAAGCGCTGAACACAATATAATCAATACAATAAAAAAACAATACAAAATCAACAAGCAAATGCAAGTTTTAAAAAAAAAAAGTCTTAAGTTGAACCTTAAAAACATCATAATTCTGAGCGTCCCTAAATTCAATAGGCAGATAATTCCAAAGGACAGAAGCATAGAAAGAGAAAGCCTTATCACCCATAGGTCTTAGACGTGTTTGAGGAACAACCAACAAGTTTGACTGAGAGGAACGCAATCTACGACTAGGAGTGTAAGGATGTAACAATTCTGTAAGGTAATGTGGTGCCAGTCCATGTAATCCCTTACGCAAAGAAAATACATTTCCTAATATATGAAGGATCAATATATTAAACGACATAATGGTATATTAGAAATTATACAGAATAATATATTGTGTAAATATATTACAATATATTGAATAATACATAAGGAATTGCCGCTTTTCATATATTGAAATATATGTGACAATATATTTACTTATATATCACATATGTCATTTTATATTCAGTAATAATCTTTATAATATATAGATGTACATGTGATAAGATATGGCACTGCATGTGTAAAAATATATTGAACATATTCGTGCATGCAAATATATTGAAATATATATTTCTTATATTTAACAATCACTTATAATATACATGTTTCATATTTTAAAATATAGCTAGCTTACAATAGTATAAGCACACCTGCTCATAATAAAGCACTTAGTGAACAGACTATCACTGTGCTGAACAGTGCACTACCATTACTTTTTAAATAAAGTAACATATAACTTAACAGTGTTTGGCCAATCGTCATCCTAACCACAGGCTCTACTCTTCTGCACAGTGTTAACCCAACAAACTTACACATACCAGAAACCCTTTACATTTCAAAATAATACAACATTAAACACTAGCAGATATCCCCCTATAGTAATATTGAGCAAAAACATTTTAACATTTTTACTCTCCTTTAACAGTCAGAAGCAAAGCATGCTGGGAAATAGAAATCTGCTTTAACTCATTGCGTGAATGTGTGTATATATGTCTGTACATACATTCACATTTACATGGGAACATCTATGTGCAATACATAGTCAATAAAGGATCAAACAATGAATATTTATTTTTGTCTTCATTTCTAAATATATGTATATATGAATATATAGCTACAGTATATATTGTTATTGCATATATTGCTGTATATTGAAACATATAAGCACTAGTTTCCAATATATGGAAATGTATTATGTAATATAACGCATTATATTTTGCAGTATATTACTATATATTTTTGTTTCGTAAGGGATGCTTTAAAAGTAAGCATCATTATTTTGAAATCCACTCTAAACCTGACCGGGAGCCAGTGCAAAGATTCTAACACTGGAGTAATATGACTGCCAATCCTAGTCCCAGTTAAAATCCTAGCGGCTGGATTTTGTACATATTGCAATTTATTAAGTGTAGATTTAGAAGCTCCGGCTAAAAGAGCATTACAATAGTCTAACCGCGAGACGACAAAGGAATTTATTAGCATTTCCGCGACAGTCAAATTTAACATAGGACGCAATCTTGCAATATTTCTGAGGTGGAAAAAAGAGGTTTTAACAGTGCTCTGGACACTGTTTATCAGAACAGATTTGGAGAAATAATAATAATAATTCATTACATTTATATAGCGCTTTTCTGGGCACTCAAAGCGCTTTACATTGTCAGGGGATATCTCCTCATCCACCACCAGTGTGCAGCATCCACCTGGATGATGCGACGGCAGCCATATTGCGCCAGAACGCCCACCACACACCAGCTTATTGGTGGAGAGGAGACAGAGTGATGAAGCCAATCAGCAGATATGGGGATTGTTAGGAGGCCATGATGATCAGAGGCCAATGGGCAAATTTGGCCAGGATGCCAAGGTCACACCGCTACTCTTTTCGAAAGACATCCTGGGATTTTTAATGACCACAGAGAGTCAGGACCTCGGTTTAACGTCTCATCCGAAGGACGGTGCTTGTTGACAGTATAGTGTCCCCGTCAAGAAATTTGGAGAAATGTATCATTACATCACTTACTCAGCAATGGATTCTCTGCAGTGAATGGGTGCCGTCAGAATGAGAGTCCAAACAGCTGATAAAAACATCACAATAATCCACAAGTAATCCATACCACTCCAGTCCATCAGTTAATGTCTTGTGAAGAGAAAAGCTGTGTTTGTAAGAAACAAATCCATTATTAAGATGTTTTAACTTCAAACCGCTGCTTCCTAAAATGTGTACATAAGATTATTGAACTTTAACAATATCTGCAATACATGTATGTTGGTTCTGTTCTGTTTACCCTGGGGGGGTTATCACTGCTCTCCCTGCTCTCATCCATGCTAGGCTGCATGAATGCGCAGGGAGTTCTTGCCCAGAACAGAACCATACCGCCAATCCAAACTGTATGTTAATTGTCAATCATCTTTGACGATAGTGGTCCTGACAGAAATGCATTTACACACCTGTTATACAGGTGTAAGAGCAGATTAATATTCATATAGAGATCTCAGATGCTGCAGGATCCTTTAATCATTATGTTTTTGAATCAAATGGTGTTTTGGTGAATTTTAGTAGATGTATGAAGTCAAGTTCACACAAACAAACACAATACTTACTGACTACCTGCATTTTTAATATTAGATCAGTTTTTTTAGCATTTCAGACCCAATAATTCTCATTGCCGTACATTTACATTCATGCAATGGCAGACGCTTTTATCCAAAGCGCATTAATGCATTAAATTGCGCTGAAAAGTTTTTTAATAAGGGTTGCAATGTTTGGAATAATAATTTTTTTTTAATGTTTTTGAAATAAGTCTCTTCTGCTCGCCAAGGCTGCATTTTTTTTGTTTAAAAATACAGTAAAAACAGTAAAAATTGTGAAATGTTG